GGCCTGTGAGGCTCATCTTGTCCCCTGGGTCTGCAACATGCGGCTTCTGGAATGTGAGTCATGAGTGAAATGTGCAGTGGGTAGAGCACTGGCCTTGAGTCGGGAAAGTTGAACTCTAAGACCAGCTCCACCACGGACTCATTGACTGTCCTCAGACAACATGGAACAGTAGAAAAGGTAGGGGATCTGGGGTCAGGAGACCTGAGTTCAAGTCCCAACTCTGCGACTTCTGTAAACTACATGACCCTAAGCCTGAGTCCCCTCCTCCATAAAGTGGAGCCGATAAAGATGGTGGGGACGACAATACAGACGTCACAAAATATCTGCTCTCCTTACGGGGGTTACTGAGAAGGTCAAAGCGAATGGAAATGTATGTTAGATGCTGCAAAACACTACACAAATACGGGTTGTTACTGGTAGAAAAATCCAGGAAAAAAAGTATATAGTGCTATACAGCATTAATTGAAATAGCACATGTACTTTACGAACTCTACCACAAAAAAAAACCCTCCTTATTCTGACCATTGTACTATTTTTAAGACATCATTAATATCTCCCATAGGATTTTTCACTAACTCAAACACCAGACTATTTTGGAACTGATCACATAACCACAAAACCCAAACCACTAACCCTGGATCAATAAGTACCCAGGGCCTGTTGACTGATTTTGAACTTTGCAGTTGGCAGGTGAGCAGCCCAGAGTGTGAACTACTCAGTTCTTAGATACTCAGGGAAGAAGCTGAAGGGCCCACAGGTTTCATGTTTCTTACAGACCGTGTGTCACTGGAGTGGAGGGGGTGGAAGTGTGGGTCGGCACTGGGCGAGCCACGCTGACAGTGGCTGGAGTCAAGGTAGGGGCAAGGGGCGGGCAAGAAGGAAGAAGGATGTGGGCATGAACTTCCACACACAGAGGCCGGAAGCAGCGGTCTCTGAGTCGGATCCAAGAGGCAAGCGAGGGTGTGCTGAGCAAAGGGGACGAATCGGCAAGAAGACCCGGCTTTCAATCCAGGCTCTGCATTTGGCTTTCCTCATCTCCAAAGTGGGAGCGATAATCTGCACTTCACAGGACAACCACATAGACCAGATGCGATCCCCCAAGGATGTGGAAGAGAGCTCGGGAAACGCTCTCTGTGCAGGGATGCCCCAGCCTCTGGGCCTCCCCCCCACCCCCGGGTTAATCCGTGCTGCAGTCCCCGCCATGGAGATCCCCACTCACCCTTGCGCCCCTCTACCCCAGCACTCACCTAGAGACATCTCCCCTTTCCCAAATCCCCTGGAGCACGCTAGCCATTTACTCACCCAGTCAGTCAACCAAACATTAGCCTACTCACCAAGCACTGCCCGGGCACCTATCACATGCCAGGCCCCAAGCCAGACCCTAGGGACCAGAGACGCCCGCGGTCCTATCCCTGACCCCTGGGAGCTCATGGCATGGTGGGAAGAGGACATGCTGATGCTGTCGCCTCCTCAGGAAGGGACCATGATGCCTCCTCCCCCATTTCTTTTTCCCCAGCCTCCATCCCCAGGACACGTTCTGGCCCCACAGGGGAAACCAGCCACTTGGCTCCTATGCCTTACCAGGCAAGACGCCTAAGAAATGGAACTCGCTGCTCATACCGACATATAGGACCTTGTGCCCACGAAGGAGTTGGCCATGGAGTCAATGAGCTGCCCGCTGACCCCAAAATCACAGAGCTTGATCTCCCCACGGGAGTTCACGAGGATGTTGGAAGGCTTGACATCTGCAGGGGAGAGAACACAGAAAAAGGAGGGAGTTGACACAGGTAGATTGGGGGCGAGAAGAGTCAGCACTCTCCAGACAGAACAGCCCTGACCACGAGTCCCAGGACGTACTGCCATCCCACAGCCAGCTCTTGGCTTGCAAACACGGGACACCACAGTCCCTTAGTCCGTCTTGTTCAGGGTTTGAGAAAAGACTGTCAGGAGAGGAAATGGCAACCTGTTATACAAGCAGGCCAGAAAGTCAGTGGATTTCCACTCTTTGAGAATCCAGACTTGAACACATGACCCACAGGAAGGAGTCAGTTATAAATAAGATTTCAGACTTGGTTGCTTCAGTCACCCTCACTGGCAAGACGGAACAGCTACGGTTGGATCATATGGCAGAAGAACAGCACAGACAGTAAGACTTGTATGCTGGCTGAGGCCACACACCAAAGGCTCAGGGGAGGCCAGACAGGAATGCCTATTCTTGACCTTTACACCACGCACAGAGCATGGGGGTTTTACAAATATGCGTGGCAGAGGCTGGCAGCTGCCTTAGGACTGACGTCTCGGAGGTCATCTCCCAAACAGTCTCCACAGCCGCAGCAGCTATGGGCCCAGGGGAGCCCCCCGCTGCCCTACCAGGGTCAGTCAAGGCAGTGCTGCCAGAACCGGCCCCAAAGCCTTCCCTGCACTCGGACCCTCCCCTCTTCCCACCTGGCTGCCCCATCACTACTAGCTCACCGGCCCTTCCCTTTGCAGAGGGATGTGAACTTCCACCATCTCCCCTGATTCAAACTCTGCTCTGTAAAGTGGGCAGAGCAGGGTCAAGTGTTCTCATTTATAGGTGGGGAAACGAGGCTGGAACTTGGTAAAAGTCCCCAGGCCAAGGTTGTGTGGGCAGACCTCAGCAATGAGACCCCTCCCAGTAAGCAGGCCATAGCCAAGGGAAAAGCATAAACTGGACAGGCAATCTTTGATAGAAGTAATAGGGATACTCTAGAGAATATCTGGAGAATTCGAGGGAAAAAAACAAATCCCCATAATCCAAAGCTATCTGAACCACTATTCCCATTTTATTATTTTTCTCTTCAGTACTCTCAGATGAATGCATTTACAGACACCCCTTGAAGGTCGAGACCACTGCATTATATAAGTGAATATATATAAAGAGAGTAAAGAGAGTCAAGTGAGTTTTCTTGCGTTTCCTGGTGCATATAAAAGTTATGTTGGGGCACCTGGGCGGCTCACAGTAGATTAAACAGCTGACTTCCGCTCAGGTCATGATCTCAGGGTCGTGGGATTAAGTCCTAGGTCAGGCTCCCTGCTCAGCGGGGAATGTGCTTCTCCCTCTCCCTTTGCTTCCCCCACCTCGATCATGCTCACTCTCTCTCTCAAGCAAATAAATAAATAAATCTTTTTTTTTAAGTTATGCTTAAACTAGACCATAGTCTATGAAGTATACAGCAGCATTATGTTTAAGAAAATGATGTACATACCTGAATTCAAAAATACTTTACTGCTAAAAACTGTTAGCAATTACCTGAGCTTTTGGCAAGTCATAACCACTGATCACAGATCACCATAACAAACATAATAATGAAAAGTTTGAAAAATTCAAGAATTAACAAAATGTGACCCAGAGACATGAAGTGAGCAAAAACGCTGCTGGAAAAATGGTGTAGTGTAGACTCACTCGATGCAGGACTGACACAAACCATCAATCTCAAAAAAATGCAGTATCTGTAAAGCACAATAAAATGATATATGCCTGTATTTATCCTTGAACAGATTCTAACAAGTCTACAGAAGCATCTTTCCAAGGATAAAGTGAAAACAAAAAAACCCAGTCTCTTGTATCCCAATAAAGTCCTTCTCCTGCCTGTCCCTCCTCCGCCCCTCATTCCCAAGATGCTCGGCCAGCTCCAGCATCTCAGTCTCTGTGCCTCACGCCCTGGAGACAGGCCTGGAACTCAGCTCACAGCAGGGGCTCCTAAGCCCTCCAGAAAGGAAGGCTCTGAACTCACGGTGTGCATACAGGAGCACTCAGAGCCACTGGTGCAGTCTTCCCAAGACCCAGCCCTCATCATGCCACAGGACATGAGACCTTTCCAAAGGCCCTGTCACCCTCCCTGTGTCTGCTCCATAAAGACTTCCAGAATGCAGGCATCAGAAGTAACCTTAGCAGGAATCTGGTTCCCTCCCACCCTGCGGCCACATGACCCACCTCTGCTCCCCTCATCCACTTCCTATTCATGGAGCACCTGGATGCGTCAGGGCCCGTGCAGATACCAAGAAGACAAGGGCAAACAAACCGATGGGAGTGCCTACTGTCAGCTTACATTTTAGCGTGCGTACAGACAAAAACCAACCAACAAATGGGCAGCGTCAGGTGGTCTCAAGGGCCATGAAAACCAGGTAAGACCACACACCATGAGGGGGAGGGTGCCTCTGAGCAGGGAGGAGGACCCTTAGGAACGACCTGGATAGAGTCATGCAGCCTCCCGCAGAATCCCTTTGGGATGTCAGGGACTGAACCTGTCTTCTGTTTCTTCTCCACACCTAGAATGAGGGCAGGCCCCAACACACACTTCCAGCTGAGGAGCCACGGTCTTCACCCACACAGTACCGTGGCCCTTTTCCAACGGAGGACACACACCCCACCCCAGAGGAGAGTGTCCAGTGTGTGGCAGGTGACGCCAAGTGGCGGGGAGATGGTGCTCGCAGGAGGCGCCGCAGGGAGAGCACACAGGAGGCACTCCAACCTGGACGGCCCTTCACCCCTGTGCCTCCCTCACCTCCCAAAGGAGCCCAAGGCAGGTTAGGCTCTGTTTTTGAGCAAAAGAACAGCCCTGGCTAAAGACACCTGTATTCAAATCCCGCCCTGCCATCTGCTCCACCCAGCGGCCTTGAGCCAGGCCCTCTGCTTCTCTAGCACCGGCCTGCCTGTGGGTTACCAGCCTGCGGATGGTAACAATCACAGCTCCTGTGACCTTACCCGATGGTGACCAAGACCAACCTAATGCGGGGTCGGCATTTACAGGGCACACAATGTTACAGAGACAAAAGGATTCTTTCACAGGCCACCCTCCACGAGGAGCAGTTCATAGCACCAGACACCTGCTTCCTCCCTCCCCCCAGAGAGCCTCCCCCACCTTCCACCCCCACCCCCACCCAGGTTTTCCTTCTTCTGCTGGTTCAGATGCTTCTCTCCAGGCTGCAGCTGCTGCTCAGGAGTGGCTACACGGCCTCTGTCACTGCGTGGATCTGATTTCTATTCACATGGCAAGCAAGCCTCTTTTTCTCCAAACTTATGTAACACCACTCTCCTCCATCGCTGACTGTCAGCTCCCGCTTCCCCCACTGCCAGGGAACAACACTGCCTGGGAGGCTGCAGAAACCATGGGGGATGGGGTCAGAGGAGCAGAGGGAAACCCTGAGATTTCCCTGCCTGGACCACACCCTAGGAGCCACTCCCACTGCACACACTCCCTCCTGGTGACCTGGATGCTCCCTCCTGGTGACCTGGAGGGCAGACAAGAGACTGCCTGCAGACCTGGGCCTCCAAAGCCCTCAACTACAGAGCATGTGGCTGAGCCACGAGGCTGGGACACGCTTCCTTCTGGCAGCCCCAGCCAAATCAGGCTCTTCTCTGGGGGCATAAAAGGTCCATGTCATACAAGTCCAGAGAGACTGCTTCCTCCAACTGGCAGCGTCCCACCTTTGCTCTCCACCATCACTTCCCTTGTTCTTCCATCCTATCCCCACATCCTCCTCCTCACTCAGTCCTGCACAGAAATCGGTGCTCCTGCAGTGGGAAAGTCCCCACCTCTCGGCCTGCCTTTCCACATTAGCCACAGAGCCCAAAGTCCTCCCTCCCTCTCCAGCTTCCTGCTGTGTCGGGCCCCAGCTCAGGCCTGCCCCTCTAACCATGCCTCCCCCCTCCCCCACATGTGAAACACGCACTCTTCCAGCCCACCCTCACCTCCAGGTCCAGGTCCAAGTTTTCAAGGGTCCCCTTCCTCATTTGGGAGCCTGCCCTGTTCCTGGAGCCCTCCAAGGTTTCATCGGGCTTCCTCCCACAATGTCCTAGCAGCAACCCCAACCACTGTTCACATCACAGGCCCAGGCCCCCTCTACTTCCCAAAGCCTTCTCCAGGCTGTGGGTTCCCTTTCTCACCCTCCAATATCAAGAGGTCGAGACTGGGAGGAGCCACAGGACCTAGCGGGCTGGGCTGCATTCTGAAGGAAGCGCCCAGCATCCATGAGGCCCCCAGGCTGACAAGCTTCCCCGGGGAAACCTCTGAGGAGCCATGGTTTGTTGCCCCAATCCTGCTCAGGCCCTGCAACAATGAGGACGAGTAAGTCCTCCTTCCTCAGAAACAAACAAGGAGGTTTTATGAAAAAAGTGGACAAAGTATTTTCTTCTTTCCTATTTTCTGCCCCAGAAAATAACCACTGTGCAAAGCCTTCTGATCCTTCCCCCAAGAGCACGTAATTTTTACTTAATTTCTGAGCATTTTCTACCCCTGTAAAACAAAGGGTTTGGATTAAATAATTCAGGGGGTCATGTGCTTATTTTATAAACACAACTGAGCTATGAATAAAAGGACACGGTTCTTCAAGGCCATCCACAAGGAGAGACGGGACACGAAAAGTAACAAGAACGTCGTACACATGTGTACGATGGTGAGGGCGAAAGGAGAGGGCCTGAGGGCACTGTGGACTGATACTCTAAATTCTTCCACCCAGCCAGGCTCAACGCCAGCCTGACTAGTGGGCAGCTCCCATCAGGCAGATGCAGCAAGGCAAGTGTCAGCCCCCCAAAGGGTATGATCGAGTAACCTCGTTTCATTTGGCAGAGAAGAATATTATAGGAAGTTGCATTCGCTATGGAAGTGGGGGTGCACACGATGGAAGAGAGGGCATGAAGAAAGAGAGGGCAGGGGAGCGGCAGAGGGGATAGGGAACGCAAGAGAAATAGGAGGAAGGAAAAAGAAATGAGGGCCCCAGAGAA